GACTTAACTGCAACAGGGAGCTGCCTGGTGGCTGGCAAGGAAGCAGAGTAACAAAAAAAAAAAAAAAGGGCGTGCTAAATTGTTGGTGCGACACTTGGATGCTATGCAGACGACTCCGCCTGCCTGTGTCTGGTTGTGTTTTTTAATGCCTGCGCTGCCAAGCAGATAACTGGCAAAGGTAACACAGACACAGCGGTTCATGCCGGCTGCCTGGGTCTCAATGGATACCAAACTGAGCGAATGGCGGAGCGGGCGGGCGAGAGGGAAGTCACTTGCCAGACGCGTGTAATTTGCCGCTTGTAACTTTTTGACTTTTCGTTAGCGTTTTTTATGCCTCCATCTTTTTTTGTTTTTTTTTTTTGGTTTTTTGAAGCATGCTAGACACGCCCAAAAGTAGACTATGCCTGCCCATGGGACACTGCAGGTCAGAACGAAGCCTTTTGGGGCCATGCAAAAACAGATCATGCTATAAAAGGCAAAGTTGCCGCAGCTAGACAAGCGCTAGACAGACCTAGACCCAGACCCAGGCGTAGACCCAGAGCTGCCTGCCAAACGTGTTGAACATGTTCATATCGGTTGTCTCTGGCCAAAAACAATGTTGCCGTAACCCAGGGCACGGCTATAGAGCTGCTACTGGGCGCATATATTAAAATTCCCAGTTTCAGCTGCTCATTTTCGCACGCGGCAAAAAATACCGTCATAACCCCGAAAATGATGGCAGTCAAACGCATCCGCTGCTCGGCACGCTTTTGAATTTCAAATGACAGACATAAAATATGCATCGTTTGATATTTGGCTGACGATTTCGTTGATGGAGCCATGAAGGCTGCACGGCTGCATGATTCCCAATAAGCAGCAGCAGCTGCTGCACATGTGCCCCATGCCCGGAATCTGTGTAATTTTCCAATGCAAGCAACCAGGCGCAACGTTATAGCCTCATAGGTCAATGCTGGCTTTGATTAGACAACTGATTATGGCCATGCAGCCACGCAGCCACAGTCACAGCCGCATCTACAGCCAGTCTGCCCCACAGGCCGATGCCGATTGAAGTGTGAACAATTGCCCAATTGTGCGCCCAATGCATCTCAGGCATTTGACTACCCTAACTAGGCAGGCAGCCAAACATTGAAATGCAATTTGTGCATTTACAAAGCATCTGGAAAGCAGCTCATCTGAGTGCTAGCGAAATTTATGTATTCAATTATTTATCTTTTACATTACTCATCACTTATTATTTTAATATTAAATTAGTTATCTTTTCACTATTTTTGAATTCCATTTTTTAAATTCAATTTTATTTATTTATGCGTACCACATTTAGTTATTGTCTTTTTATTAAAGTTCTTTAATATTTATTATAGCTTATAGTTTTTAAAGTGTATAGATTATTCGATATTAAAGGGTTTTTGGCATTTCATTCGATTCTTGTAGCATTACAAATTCGATTTTAATTGAAATGATTTGCGAGATTTCATTAGCTGGTTGCCGTCGAGATTGGGGTAATTGAGCTACGGGTCGTTCGCATCCTCATTGCATGTGTGGCAACAATAAAAAGAATAATAATAATAATAATAACAATTCCAACATAGAAATATGCAATTGCTGCGGTTTGCTAGCAAGCTGGCAAAAAATATGCACAAAAATATTTTAGTCAAGGCAATTTTCCAGAGCTATCGACGGGACGATGCGACGGCTGCAATGGCTCGGTGCGGTTTTATTGTCTTTGCCAAATGTTGTACACAATATAAAAAAAAAAAAAACTAAAAAAAATTAATGGTGTTTGAATGCAGCATGCGAAGATGCAGGCTTGGGCTTTGTCGAAACCATCTGAGTCTAGGTATGTGTGGTAATCTAATTAAATCGAAATTTCAGCTGATTACAAAAGCAAGCACTGCACCCAAGCAGTAAGCAGTCAGCAGTCAGCACTGAGCCGTAAGCAGTCAGCAGCAGTCAGCAGCAATAAGCAGCATGCAGAACGGCAACAGCAGCCGCCGTTTGGCAATTAGCCAAACGTTCAACGTGGCGTATGCGCAATGAGGACTGAGGGCGCCAACAGAAAGGCATTTTTAATTGCATAGTTTGGGCGTAAGTGTTGCTTTGTATTTCAATTGTTCGCATTGCCGAGCCATGTCTGTGACAGCTGGCCAGAAATTAGTTTAATGGGTTTGTGGTCCACCAACGAAATGTAAAATCTTATATAAAAAGTCTTTGTATATGGGTCATCTGATACTTATCTTAGCATTTCAGCTTTACATTTTTAACAATTCAAATTATTTCCAGCCCATTTCCAAATTTTGCAACAATTGCATCACTTGAATTTATAATTTTTCCCGCTTTCACTTACCTTTTCTTTTGCCACTGTTTTAGCTGTTTCTATATTTTTTCTTCAGCTTCCATGCCGCCCACAACGTTTTTATTATTTTTTAAACACGTTTCTTTATTTAGCCCAATAATTTTCAAATTGCCTTTGGCAACTACTTGAGATTTTTGCAACACCCGATGACTGTAATATATAATTTGACAGATATTTTTTTTTACATTTTTGTTGCTGGTAATTTGAATGCCGCAGCGGCAGCTTATTCAGATTTGTTAAAATCTTATGCTTATTTGCAAAAGGTTAATATCTATATGCGGCCGCTGGCGGCGCTTGTTTTATGAGAGGTTTTATGTCGCGTTTATGGTCTGTGGCTTATGGCCATTAAATTCGGGTTAATTAGGGTTAATGCGGTGTATGGGCAACCGAAAGCGTATATCACTCTGAGGAAAATAAAAAGAATTCTTAGTAAAGCATTTAAAAGCAATTTACTTTCGTTTTCGATTAATCAACTTGATATCATGTAACAGATAAATGGTTATATTAAAAATTTAGCAATACAATACAACTTGAAGATAATATATAATATATCCCATTTGAAACCAAAATTAGAGTTATATTCTATCTCTCAATAATTTATATTATTTACAGTATTTAATTCTAAAACTACAACATTATTTGTGATAATTTACAAGATCCATATGCAGCAATCGGTTGATCTTTAGAAATAAAGAAGAGAATGCCAAAAGATTGTCATAAATCTTCTTCACCTCGGCCAACACTTAGACTTCAAAGCAAGCCGCCAATTGCTGCGATTCCACGCTTGCCATATATCAGATGCCCGCTCCCAAAAGTAAACACACATATTCGAGCATAAAGTCTCGGTGAACTCCGCCGTGATCCAAAAGGGAGCTTGGCCAGATTCGTGCGGCAGACGCGCGCCAAAGCCACAGCCTTTGATCTTTGGCATTGTCCTTGGCATGGAATTTATCTCGTGCCTCCTGCCGACAGCAACATATTTTTTGTTTTCGCTACTTTTTTCGCCAATCAACTGCAACTGGAGTCAGCACGCGAGCAAATTGCGCAAAGTAAAAAAAAAATAAATTTGTTGATTGAAATCGCAGCTGAGGCCAAAACAAAAGACTTAAACAACAAACCTCGCAAAAAAAAATAAAAAAAACAAATATATATATAAAAACAGCCGAAAAAAGAAACAAGGCAATAAAAGTCATTTCCCATTGCACATACTCACGAGCAGAAGGAGAAGAAGTAGGCTGTAGCGGTTTTTTTTCTTGGTTTTTTTGTTGCCATTCACATGGCCCATTAACTTTTATTTGGCCAAATTTGCATTTCAATGCCCCAAAGTGGGGGCAAAAAAAAAAAGAAAAAACACCAAAAAAACGCTGCAACATGCAACAAACGATGAAAAGGTCAGCCAAATGTTTGTTGTTCTACTGAGCGAGCAGGCGAGTGTCGTGCATGTTGCAAGTTGCAAGTTGTTAGTTGCAAGTGTATGTGGCAGCTGTTGTACTAATGCTAATGCGCTATCTGACATCAATGTAGAGGAGTTTGTTTTTTCTTCGCTCGCTGCTGCGGTTGCACCAAAAACAAACTTTGGTAACTTGCTTAATTGCTGGGAACGTTGCAAATTCCATAAATTTACACACATATGTATGTATGCAGCCGCATATTTATTGAAAAAAGAGCCAGACCCAAGAGCCGGGCCAAGAGCTCGTTAGGCACGCCATCGTCATCGTCATCGTCATCCACATCGTCAGCGTCATCGTCATCGCCATGGTTAAATCTGTATACGTGGGCGTTGCAGAATGTTGTCTAGGGTGCCGCTCAAAATTGAGGCAAGTGCCGCAACTCGGGCTGCTGATGACTTAATAACAGTTAATAAACAGGCAGTCCAAGTAAAAGCCTGAGTTAGCCCAACAAGCTGAATGGGAAATATCTAGCAAATGTCATGAGATACAATCGAATGGCCAATTAAATCAATTATTTTAAATGCTTGCTGTGCATCCCTGCAACTTGGCTAAACTCATTTTTATGAAGACATTTTATTGCCAACAATTTTATTGCCAACATAAATCTAGCCAACTCGGCCAATCGTAGCTCTCTTCACATACATTTATTGAATGTATTTGTATATATATATCTATATATATATTAAATGTTAACCGCACATAAATCAATTTGCCAGCCAAGTTTGCCATTTAGCCGCAAGTCGCTGCCAATATGCAATTGTCATATATTTATATACGCTTTTATTATTTATTTTTAATAGTTCTCCAGTTTAAGTAACTTACTCTTAACTTGACGTCGCGCTTTAAACTGGGTCGTGATCAAGTGTGGAGCCAGAGCGAGACAAATGTGCAGATATTCAAACCGTTTTTGTGATACTCGTGATCAGCTCAGCGTGAACTCAACTCTATGGTATTCTAAGTTGTTTTTTATTCTTCAGTTTTTTTTTTCATGTTAAATGTCTGTCGATTGGATCTTAAAGAACAAGCAAGCCAAACTTAGATAATGACAACAGCAAAAATGTTTTAGCATAATCATTCAAAAGGATGCATTGAACAAATCATGATTGATAACAAATAAAAATAATTATATTTTAAATAAAAAAAAAGTAAACATCTTATTAAAAAACTTAACTTAAGTATTAATCAGCCTTCCCAAATGTACGTTTACACACACATAAAAAATCTCTTAAAATTTCTAATGAAGATTAATTTGCTTTTCAATACCGATTAACAACTTTGGTCAAACAATCAAATGCACATTAATAACTAGCTTTTTTTTAAATTAATTACTGCTTTAACTATCAGGCGCGCACACTATAATTTTACAGTCCATATATTTTGGAGCACCAGCCAGAAATTCGCCACAAGTTCAAACTCGTGTCTTCCCTTGTGTGTTAATTGCCCGAAAATGGCAATAGAATCAAAACCATGAAGTGGCAGAGCCATCGAACGTGTCTCACCTACTGCCTACCTGTAATTAATTTCAACAATTTTCATTGTGTTTTCTGCCTTTTGTTTTTTGCCCGATCGGCCTTCAACTTGACGCGCCGCTGACAAAGTGGGCGTGTGCGACATGCAACACGAGCTAGTTTGCTGGAATTGAAGATAAATTCATGCTGCTTTTTTATTTTTAATTTTTATTTATTTATTTTGTTTTTACCTATGTTGAAGCGAACAATGCACAATTTGCTGACCAAGTTTACTTCCGCTGATTGGGCTGATTAATAATGAAAAAGTTTAACGAAACACTTGTTGATTATACACAATAAATAATGTAAAAATCAAAAGGCTTATAAGTGTAATTACCAACACAGCATGTAGCAAAAAATAAATAAATGGAAAACAAATTTAATAAATAATGCCAAAACATAATAACAGTAATGCACGTATAAAGCCGCACAAAGCGAACAATTGCTATTTATTAGATTATGCGCGATTAATGATATTTCAATGCGAGCCGGCTCGTGCTTTATGTCTGGCAGTTACATTAAATGATTAATACATTAAATATTTGATGTGCATAAATATGCTGAACGTTTGCTTAAAGTCATTTTAAGACACAATTCACAAGATCAATGTCCAATGTTCTGAAAACCTCAGCGCCAAGGTGTGAGATAGCCACAAACCATGGCAAACCTAGACCACATATCCAATAAGAACCTTCAACTGGATACAATTAGATCTGTGAACAGAATTTAGCAAAGACCAGAACCACAGCACAGCGCAACGACTCATGATGCACGTTGGTATATTGCAATGTAACATGTGCAGCATTATTTATGTTAGCAAAATGTTTTCATACTTTTAGAAATATTCAAAAATATTACATATCTATTCAATATAACTATATATAGTCAATTGATAGTTTGTGTTAGCTCAAATGTATAAACAATTCAATATGTTTATTATGATTTACACAAAGAGCAAAATTATAGAGTTTTATCTGTTTTAGAAAAAGAGTTCTTCTATGAAACGTTTTACACAATCAACTAATGTCATATTATTAACAGATATTCACTGCAGATACAAAATAAACAAACATAAAGTAAAGTTCCGCTTCAAAGCGAGGATATAATACCTACATAAACTGCAAGCTCACCTTAGTACTTTTTGCAGATATCCATAACTCTTGCCCCAATGTGTTTCAATTCTCCATCAGCAAACTCGAAGACGTAACTTGATTTTCAGCTGTTGTTGCTTTTGTTTGGTATGCAGTTAAATGCAAGGCTTTATCGATCTCAATCTTTATCTGTCTCTCTTTTTTGTACATCTTTATCGTTGATCGTTTTGTGCAGCATTCGATTTGTGCTGTCGTCGGCTGTTGCGGCAATTTGTTGGCCGCGCTTTGACTTTGCCTTTTTATTTAATTTACACGTAAATTATTTGTTTCTTTTCTTCTTGTTGCAGTCAAAGGGAAGTACAGACAATGTTCTTTTTTTTTCTTTTTTTGGCTTCGACTAAGGGTAATTGCATTTGTTTAACATGCAAAAATTGCTGTTGACATGCTTATTGCCTTTAACTTGGGCTCCTCGTTGAAGGTTGGGACCACACACTGTGCTGCATGTTCAAGTAATTGAGGGAATTTAGTTGGTTTATTAAATTAAATCAAACGTTTAATTTATAAACCAATTGAGTCGATTAAAAGAACAAAAGAAAAAGCAATTGAAAACAAAACTTCCCACTTGCCTAGACTTTAATTGAAATAAAAAGTCTACAACATATATAAATCAGTTAGCTATGCACATAAATAATAAACACAAATTGTAAATAACTAATAGTTCAATTTAAGATCAGCTAAACGCAGCTGTAAACTGTTTGCACCGGTGCACGCGGCGTATGCGCAATTTATAAATCAGCGAATCATTTAAAGCAGTTTGCCGTTGACTTTGGCATTGGCCATGGCCAGAGCACAGGCTGTGACAATGATCAATAGCTAAGCATATTTCTATTTTTGCATAGAATACCTGCAAGCATTACATAAAGACGTTGCAAATGCAGCCAGGCGGGGGGGCAAAACATTTCCGCAATCCACAATCCGCAACCAAAGTTGCAGTTAACAAATGCAAATTGAAAACAACGACAGGCAGCTAACAAGAGGCCAGCAGCTAGTTATAAGTCTGACAGCTGGCCAGCATTTGAGCTGGCCAAGTTGGCCAAGTTGATGGATGGCTGTGGCAGACCGAGTTGCATGTGTCAATTAGCCATGTTTGGACCAAAAAAAATAAAAACCCAGAAGATGAAGAAGCGGCTGACGTTTTCAGTTAGCTGCAGCCATAAATTTGTGAGCCCGCCTTAATTGTCAGCTTCTAACCTCCGCCATTTGTTGCCCTTTCCAGTGGGCCGCGCATTCTAAATACGAGTCAACCGCAACCAGACAGCATTTGCTTTGGTTTTGTGCACCTGCCCCAGAGCAAGACGGCGGCAGCGACTGCGGCAGCTGAATGTCAGTTGCGATCTTATCGCGGCTTCTATTTTTGTTTACCGCTCACTTTTTTTTCTAGCATAACCTTTTTTAGCGTTTTTATTTTAATGCTTATAAATGCCAAGTTTTTGTTTGTTTTTAATACAATTTTAAACTGTTTTTGGTTTTCACTTTTTTTTTGTTTTGCAGAGTTTATCACTTGCTGCCATCACTGCCTACACTTACGCCCAGGTAGCGCCAGGCTCGAATGCGTATTTGCCGCCCACCAAAAACGGATATGACTATCCAGAGCCCAATCAGCCATTCGTGAGTATGCCGCACAGGGCCAACAATCGACAAACAGCCGCAAAAATGCAGCCAACCACGCCGCAAATTGAATTAAAGTCAATGGCTAATTATGGCCATAATTTTCACGAGCCCCTCACTCGACTTTTAACCTGGCCTCTGGCTGTTAAGCCGCTTTTTCCAACAGCCAGACCGACTGTCTGGCTGTCCAACTGTCTGTCGCCACATTCATCAGTCAGGCCGAAGACTCAATGCATTCACAGGCCGTCAACACTTTACTCCATAAATGTTCAGAGTCATGCCGCCGTCACCTTTGGCTGCAACACACAGAGACAGAGACGGAGATAGACGTAGTGAAAGAGGCAGCGCTCTTCAATTTGAGTGTCTACTCAAATGATGTTGCATTTGTCAACTGACAGCCTTTTCCATTTGGGGCGTGGGCATAACCACAGGCATCAAATCACAACTTGGCCAAAGACAGGAATGACTTAACATTTTTTTTTTTTAATTTTTTTTGCTTTCATAACGAAGATGCTTTTGGCCGAGTTGCAGTTATAAGCCCAAAACAATTGATTGCTGTGCATTAAATAAAATGCAGTTGCGAAAGTAAGAGAAGTCACCTTTGAGAGTTGACCGTTAAATCTTTTGCAAATAAGCGACAAAGAGTTATAAAAAGGGCGAGGGGCCAGTCAGTCAAACTAGACAGAGAGCTTAGTTAATATTACTACAAGTTCTATAGGAACTATATATCTTTCTATAAGCATGCGTCCTTCCCCTTAAACATAGAATTAATTCGAAAGTATTATTCAGAACCAAGAATTTTCAATTCAAATTATTCAAAGTTTTCACATGTTTGTTAAAGAGAAAATGTTTTATGAATCTAGTTAAAAATATCTAATAGAAAACGATTACCTTAGGCTGCTTGGATAAAACCTTCCGTAAAGCCTTTTAATGTATTACAAACTAACATTGTTTACGCTTGCAGAAACCCGGCACACCAGGTAGACCTACGCCCGGTACCGGTCCACGTCCACCACCATCTCCCCCACGCATTCCCGGTCAACCCGCCGACGTAAGTACATCTTAAACTCAATCATGTCCAACCCTAACTCCTTTACTCCAACTGATCATCTACTGATTATGTATGCTCATGCAGGATCATGTGCACGTGCCCGGCATGCCATTCGACTTTGAGTACGCTGTCCAGGATCCGGAGACGGCCAATGACTATGCGCACAAGGCATCCAGTGACGGCGATGTGGTAACCGGCGAGTATCGAGTCCAGCTGCCCGACGGACGCACTCAGGTGGTGCGCTACACGGCCGACTGGAAGACTGGCTACCATGCGGATGTCAGTTACGAGGGAGAGGCCCAGTTCCCGCAGGGACCAGCTGCTGGTGGACGCGGTGGTGGCGGCGGCGGTGGCGCCGGTGGCTACAAGTACTAGAGAGAGCAGAGCTCGGTCCGTATCGCGTTTTGAGTTATGTCTGTCGTCATTATCTTGTTGTGAATTCCATGAGAAATGTCTAAACTTTATGGTATACAAATAAAAACTATTGCTAATTTTTTATATACATTATTATTTCAATTTAAATCTAACGATATGGAAACATTTCAATTTCTATCCAGGATATTGATTAGTGAAATTTGAATCCGGTATTTAAAGTTAATATCAATTTCTATCCAGGATATTGATTAGTGAAATTTGAATTCGGTATTTAAAGTTAATATCTTTTTACCTGTAAAAAACGTACTAACTGTAGCTCTATAACTGTGGGAGATATGAAGACCAAGAATGAAATTGCATAAAACCAATATATTTGTTTTTATTTAATAAACAATGTATAAAATTTCTATAGATGATATATGAGAAAAGCTTTTAAACAATCCTTAGAGTCTTTATGAACAAAAAACGACAATGTTTATGGAATTGACTTTTTTAAATATTTTCAAAACTCGGTCACAAAAGCGACGCCAGGCGACTGTTTCAAGCAACAGAGCGGGAAAGCACAGGCGCCTCTAGGCAAAGCACACTGAAAGCTTTTCGCAGTCCGATTTGTAGCCCTCGAATTGAGCTCGACTGTCAAACGCTGTCAGCAGAAGCAACAGGCGGCGCTCAGCTGTGCCCGCTCACACATCTGGCAAACGTCAACACGGGCAACGCGCAGCTGCACGAACAGGTAAACAGACACCTGTGGAGCTTTCGCGGATGTAAACAAAGCGAACGCGCAGGCGCGTCATATGTCAACGCATGCGCAGGATATGGTGTGAGCAGCGCAGCGTCTGTCAAATGCACTGACTATACACTCGTCTCGCTCGCACGCACTTGCGCCAGCCGATGAACTCATCGCTGACACAGAAACGTCAGCGAAATGTCAGTCAGCTAACGGCAGTATACAGAGAAAAGTTTTTTTTTATAGACCTACAGAATTTTCACACGCGCAACGCTCCCAAAATACAAGTAAAAACCGTGCTAATTTGAGAAAAATTCAAGAAAATTGGCGAAATTATTGTAAAATGTGCAGTGCGTGAATGAAAAGTGGCAAAAAGTAGCTCCGGAAAATGTTTGTGCAGGCAGCAGGCAGGCCTAAACCAAATGAAATGTGCAAGTGTGTGATTGAGTGCAGCAAATTGGGCTACAATTAAATTAGGCTCGTTCGTATATATGTCGCGGCCCAGATCGGTGCAGCCAGTACAGCAATATGGCGAGACCATTTTGGGCCTGGCGTCGCCTCTGCCTGAGCCTTCTGTTTGTGTTCATCAACTGTGGGCCTGCTGTCAATGGCGAAAAAATCAACTACAATCTGTGAGTGACCCCCTCCCCCTCCCCTACCGCACTCACTCAGGATCTAAAGCATCATTAATTTTAATCTAAAAAATATATATATTATATATATATATATTTATATATTGTATATATTCAACAACATAGTGTGCACTCCTGGGCGGACAAGCTGGGCTTGGAGCTCTTTTCGTTGGGCGATTTTATCACCAGGCGCAAGGAGGTACAAGAGGTGAGTCGCCCTATTGATTTTTCCCACTGTGCCCTCCCATTGTTTTTTGTTGACGTTTGGTGACGGCAGCTGCGACGGCGACGGCGACTGCGACTGCGACTGCAGCAGAGACGTCATATTTGGGTTAAAGGCTGCCTGAGTAGGCAATTATATATACAAAATGTTTGAAGCACGCGGCGCGGCTGACAACATCACACCACACCTCGCCCCACCTCACCCCCTGCTGGTCAACCAGTTGTTGTCTCTTTTATGAGGTCAGTAGCTGCTGCTGCGTAGGACAGCTGGGTAATTTATTTTTAGTCAGCGCAATTGGATTTTCTAATGAAATTGCTTTGCAGGCGCCAAGCCAAACGCGACATGTGGCATGTGGCATGAGACATACAGACAGAAATATATACATAAAGATACTTAAGTATTTACCCTAGCTCGCTGACCATTAGGGCCTTGGCAATGGCTTATTATAACTGTTCCACGACAGCAACAAAATGGAAAACTTTTACAGGGTTATTACGGGGAAACGTCTTGGGTTCAATATATAAAATTATGGAACCAATAAAGTCTATATGCATAAAAAGTTTAATTAAGAAAACATGAACATAACTTTCTTGAAAAGTTTCCTACGATTTTTCAGGCATTAAAAGTATATGTGAATATTACAAAATCATGGATATATCTTTAAAAAATGTATTTATTTAATTAGGTGGGAAGCTACTTACCTTAAAAAGTTCAGAGTTTCTTTGTCTGCGTACGATATAAAAAGGCCTATAAATATGGTGTCTAAAGCTCTATAAAACGAGATAGATTTTAAAACCAGAGGCTATAGAAGAAATAAAAGATATGTTCTCTGTTCCATATACAAAGACTTGAACGCCAATTTGCAACCTCTATCCCATCTTAACGCATTCTATACAGACAATCGAACAACCCGTCAGACATATCACAAATATACGGATCATAATAACTTAGACAATATAATATAATTTATAATTTATACATTTTGAAAATACTATACTCCTGATTCCAAGTATTTTCATTGGCGGTCATTTCCCTCAACTTCATTCCAAAATAAAACAAAATAACACTCTAAAAAAATTTGC